AGCAGGCCAAGCAGCATCATAGGAGCAGAGCTGCTTGGCCTGCTGTGTTCATCCAGCCTTGCACCTTGTTGTCTCGGATTCTCCAGCATCTGCAGTTCCTACTATCTCTGATTCGATCAGATAATTCCTGAATAGGGCGGCTCACTATAGTACTTTTGCCTCACTAAGACAGGGCCCAAGTTGATTCCAGCCGCGAGTGACTGTCTATGTGGAGTTTGCACATTCTCCCCGTGTTTGCATGGGTTTGCTCCCAAGATGTGCAGGCTAGGTGAATTAGCCATAGATGGGGAGTTACGGCGATAGGGACGGACGCCCTTCGGAAGGTTGGTGCAGACGCCACGAACCAAACAGCCTCTTCCCACACTGTAGGGATTCTGTGACTGAAAATAAAAAAGAGGGATACTAAGTGACACAGATCATGTTGAAATGGTATGCTGGATTGGCGGGTTGGTGTTAGAGAATATCTCCCTTGGATATATCGTGCCTTCACCAGATTACACGGGAACTAGGATGATTAACGCATCACTGACTGTGAAGCAGCCAGTTTGTCTTCACTTCTCGACGTAATTTATGAAGCAACAAGGCGTGGAGCTGGATGCACACAGCAGGCCATGCAGCATCAGAGGAGCAGGAAAGCTGACGTTTCGGGTCTGGACCCTTCTCTGATGCTGCCGGGCCTGCTGTGTTCACCAGCTCCACACCTTGTTATCTCAGACTCCAGCATCGGCAGTTTCTAATATCTCTGAGTAATTCATGAGGCGTTGGCGCAGGCTCTGAGAGATAAACTCCACGTTAGGCTCTGTCATACAGGCCAGGCCGCACCGGTTATACCGAAAGAGAGCGTGCGCGAGACTCGCTCCCAAACCGCGCGCGCGCCCGATTCAACACACCGTCATTATGTACCGAACCGGTACAGGGAGACGAGTTCACTCCCGGTCAAACCCACCAGAAGCTCCTTCTGGATCCTTCCACTCACCAACCAACTGCCTAGCCGGGAACTCTCTGGAAAACGCTAGTTCGAAGAGTTTTCGACCACGCATACGCGGAGAGCCAAACCCCGCCAACTGCCGGATCGCTTCACGACAGGATGTCGGTTCCTTACTGCCGTAAACTGGAACAGCTCGGGACAAGGCGGATGGTCGTGTCTTCTTAGCGATGAGCTGCAGGTCGATAACTGTCTTTTCGTTTGTTGGAAAATTGTCGAGGGCAAGAATATTTCATAGTACCCGGGTAAAGGAAGCTGGAGGGGACAAATACGTGGTGTTGGCAGGAAGGTGCTGTCCAGTTTCGAGCAGTGCTGCTGATCAAAGTGAAAATGGTGCCGAGGTATATGATAACCTTCCTGTTTCTAGTAAATGTGAAGCAACTCTAGGGTGACTGTCAATGTTATTTGAAGCTTATTACCCTCCCGGGAACTGTCCTTGTCTACCTAACGTAGGTCATAAACATAATATTGTACCGTCCTTGATTTTTCTCCGCAAACTGCTTTAACGAAGGTTTGATTTATTAAGAGATAACCCAGTGTGGATGCTGAATATTATTGTTAGAAGTGGACAATGGAGGAAAATTTTCATCCGTTGGCAGAATCATTCACATATATCAGACATCTCAAGCTGTCATGTTAAATGCCGCAATTGTAGCCTTTGCGTTTTGGATGCAGTACCCTAAAATATTTAGCATTCGCTGGCAGCAGTTGTCGGAAAAACCTTCTGAGAGTTAGTGCAGTGTATTGCATGGTACCCATTACAGCCACCCGCGTCATGCAGTTTGTCGGAAAGAATGAATTGTTTAAAGTGGTGAATGGGATGGTCAAGTGGGCTGCCTTGTCTTGGATATTGAGCTGTTCGAGTTGTAGCTGCATTCATCTGATAGCTACTTTGAGACTGACTGCAATCAAAGATTGATTGCTACTTTGCTATGAAGTACATATTATCAAAAATTCCAGTGCTGTAGAAGTTCTTTGCAGGAAAAGCTTCATGCCTTTCCCTCATCAGACATGATTTGTGAATCTCTAATTTTTTTTCAATCAGACCTGCAAAATTGTAAATGGCCTAGTGGTATTATCGCTGGACTGTTAATCCAGAGACCCAGATAATGTTCTGGGGACCCAGGTTTGCCATGGCGGATGGTGGAATTTGGAATTTGCATTCAATAAGAAATAGCTGGAATTAAGAATCTAATGATGACCATGAATCCGTTGTCTATTGTCTATTGTCAGGAAAATCCCATCAGGTTCACTCTTTTAGGGAAAGAAACTGCCATCCTCACCTGGTCTGGCTTACGTGTGACTCCAGACCTACAGCAATGTGATTGACCTTAACTGCTCTCTGGGCACTTAAGGATGGGCAATAAATGCTGCCGAGCCAGTGATGCCCTCATCCCATGAATGAATAAAGAGAAAAAAATTATTATATCACAGGTTTATCCATTAAGGCTGAAAACATCCCATTTTGATCTTGAATTGCAAAATATCTATGGTAGTAGTGAAATAAGTTTGGAAGATTCCTCTACCTACAATAATGCACTGAGTGAAGTACCATTGTTTTTACCAGTGATTATATTGTCCTGTTAATAACATTTATAAGATAACATAACATAATAACATTTCCCTCATTCAGTAGGCCTCTTGCTTTTTGAGTCAGAAGATATTAAACTCAGACCCTAAATGTTCTGGCAGCATCTGTGAAGAGCAATCAGAATTAATGTTTCAGGTCCGGTCACCCTTCCTCATAACTGATGGTAGCTAGGAAAATCTTGATTTATATGCAGAACATAGGGTTGGAGGGAGTGGGTCAGGATTAAACGATAGATGGGAATAGAGCCCAAGGAGAGAGAAGAACAGTTGGACAGACAAAGGAGTGGATAACTATCTGGCTAGGAGGGTGAATAGCTGTTAAGAGACACTGTTAGTGGCTAACAATAGGTAGTGTGTAATGGTAGACTATATGATAACAAAGCCCAGTACGTGGTGCAAGTAAGGTGCTGCTTCACCTGGTAGGTTTGTTTGGGCCCTTGGATACTGAGGAGGGAGGAGATAAATGGGCAGGTGTTACATCTTTGGTTGCAGGGGAAGGTGCTGCAGTGGGGGTGGGGTGGGTGTTGGAAGTGAAGGAAGAGTGGATCAGTGTGTCCCAGAGAGAATGGTCCCTGTGGAAGGCAGACAAAGGAGGGGAAGGCAATACATGTCTGGTGGGTGGCATCTCGCTGGAGGTGGTGGAAATGGCAGCTGATGATCTTCTGGATGTGGATGCTGGTGGGATGGTAGGTAAGGACAAGGGGAACCCTATCGCTGTTGTGGGAGGGAAGAGAGGGGGTGAGGGCAGATGTGTGTGAGATGGGTCGGATCTGGTTAAGGGCCTTGTTGACAACGGTGCTGGGGAATCCTCGGTTGAGGAACAAGGTGGACATTTCAGAGGCTCCCTTGTTGAAGTTGGCCCGATAGGAACATGTGCGACAGAATCAGAGGAACTGGGAGAATGCAGTGGAATCTCTAGAGAAAACAGAATTGTGAGGATGTACAGTCCAGGTAGCTGTTGGAGTTGGTGGATTTATAGTGGATATTAGTGGCTAGTCTATCCCCAGAAATGGAAACAGAGATGTTGAGGAAGGGAAGAGTCAGAGATAGACCAGGCGAAAGTGAGGGCGAGGTGGAAATTGGAAGCGAAATCGATGAATTTTTCCAATTCTGGATGAGAGAAGGGATTAGTACCGATAATATCATCGATATATCTGAGAAAGAATTGTGGGTGGGACCGGAATAGGATTGGAACAAGAAATGTTCCATGTTACCAACCAAGAGACAGGAGTAACTGGGGCCGATGTGGGTACCCATGGCCACCCCTCTGACCTGAAGAAAATGAGAGAAGTTAAAAGAGAAGTTGTTGAGGGTGCGAAGGAGGGTGGTGGTGGGTGGGGCCAGTTCAGGCCTCCGTCCAGGAAGAAGCAGGGAGCCCTGAGACCATTCTGCTGGGGGATGGATGTGTAAAGGGTAAAAAGGTAGCGGCTGGAGCCTGCAAACTGGAAATTCTGAAACCAGAACAGAGTGTCAGAGGAATCTCAGATGTATATGGGCAGGGACTGGAACGGGGAGAAAAGACTGAGTCAAGGTAGGAAGGGATGAGGTCTCTGGGACAGGAGCAGGCTGAAACGATGGGTCTGCCCAGGCAGTCCTGTTTGTGGATTTTCGGAAAGAGGTAGAAGCGAGCTGTGTGGAGCTGGGGAACTATCAGCTTAGAGGCAGTGAGGGGGAGATCACCAGTTAAACTGAGGTCACTGACCATGATAGATACAATGGTCTGATGTGCCATGGTGGGGTCATGGTCCAGGGATGATAGGAGGAGCTATCTGAGAGCAGGCACTCGGCCTCTGTAATATCAAGGCCAGTACACTGGACTTCCTCATTTAACTCCTCCCTCTTCGGTATCCAAGGGCTCAGACATACCTTTTAGGTGAAGCAGCACTTGATACCTGAACTTTGCACAATCTAGTCTACTGCATTCGCTGCTCACTCCTCTACATTGGGGAAACAAAGCATAGACTGGGTGACCACTTCACAGAACATCTACATTCTGCTCACAAAAAAGACTCTGCCTGCCATTTTCACACACCATCCTGTTCCCTGGCCAACACCTCTGTCTCTGGCTTGCTGCAGTTCCAGTGAAGCTCAGCGCAAGCTGGAAGAACAACATCTCATTTTCTGCTTGGGGACCCTGCAGCCCTCCGGACTCAATATCAAGTTCAATAATTTTAGGGCCTGAACTCTCCCATTTCCTAGACCCCTACCACACACCAGGCCTTGTTTTCACATAGTCTGCCATTACACACTATCTATTGTTAGACAATAACTGTCTCCATTAACAGCTATTCACCCTCCCAGCCAGATCGTTATCCACTCCTTTGTCTGTCCAACTGATCTTCTCTGTCTTTGGACTCTAATCCCACCTATCGTTTACTCCCAACCCACTCATTCCACCCGATCTTCTGCACATAAACTGACATTTTCCTCGCTACCAACAGTTCTGAGGAAGGGTCACCGGACCCAAACGTTAACTCTGATTTATCTTCACAGATGCTGCCAGACCTGCTGAGATTTTCCAGCAACTTCTGTTTTCGTTTCTGATTTACAGCATCCACAGATTTTTCAGGTTTTTTCACCCTGCATGTTCTCTCGCATGGACAAAAAAAAAAATCCCTTCACACTTTGTAAAATTACGAAGAAGTTATCCCTATTGTCCTGGCTAATATTTATCACCCAATCAAAACAGAACCATAGAAATGATACAGCACAGAAGGGGACCGTTTGGCACATCTTGTTCGTTCTGTCCCAAAGATACCCAGATGATCTTTCTAATTCTTTATTCCTGCCCACAGGTCATAGCCCTGCAGCTTACAGCATTTAAAGTGCAGATTCAGATATTTTGAAGAGTTTTGGGTTTCTGCCTCCACCACTTACCCAGGCAGCGAATTCCAGACACCCCCACCATCCTCTGCATTATTAAAAAAAACTGAGAGATTGATTCTTTTCACGTTGCCTGTTGTGAGAGCTTCATGTGGCTGCTGCATTTCCTATATTACACCAGTAACCAATGATTGTTTAATCACCTGGGATTTTTGTCGCCAACTACCTATAAAACCTGTACTGTTAGGTATATATTATCAAAACTACACTGCTGTAGTAATTCTTTGCAGGAAAAGCATTCATGATTCTTTCTGACACAACTGCGGGCCATTTCTTCCAGTGATAACGCAGTCTGTGTATCTGTATTTCATAATGTCTGTAAAGCTCTTTGGAATATCTTGATTAATGCAAGTCTTTCTGAGAAGATTATTGAGGGGAAGCTTGGATGACTTATTGGCCTTTTGATGTCCACTTGATCTGCTAGATTATTTCCTACTAAAAACAATGTTTAATATTTCTCTTTCGACCATTGGAATTATGTTGGTCAGAAGGGAAGAAATGGAAATATATTAGTATCTAATTAAACTTATTAATTTGGCTCTTTTTAATTACAGAACTTTGAAAGACTTGTGCACTGACAGACCACATGAATTCATTGGTACAATATATGTTGCGAAGTATAAATTTGCTCAATGTGCCATCTATCTGTTGTTTCAAGATACCCAATACATGCGTACAATGTTTGATTTGAACAAAATGCATATTTGCATTTTGAGTTATTCATACTGCCTCTGGCCTGTTCTTTTTCAATCACACTAATTTGATCTTGAGACAGTAAAATGAATAAGTTAGTGATGTGTGATTTCATTAATTAACTTCTGTATTTAACAAAATCATTTTCGTTTTCACTACTGGAAGAGAAGCTTTATTGAACAGCACTGCAGTAATTTAAATTATATAGTAGCACTTTGCAGATCACCAGTCAAAATGTTGCTTTTTTATGAGTGGAGGAACAATTTTGTTCAATTCATTGACGCTTTAGTTAAATTGTTTCGCATACAGACTTGTGATTGTATAGTCCAAGTATTGTTACTCAGCAGAGCTGCATTCACAAATCAAGAAACAGCGACGTCACTGAATACTGCAAATGATGTGGGTCCTGACAACATTCCAACAATGGTACTGAAGATCTGTGTTCCAGAATTAGCTGCAGTCCTCGTCAAAGCTGTTCCGGTACAGTTACAACACTGGCATCCACCTAACAATGTGGAATATTGCCCAGGTATCCCCTGACTCCAACAACTGGGATAAATCCAACCCAGTCAACTACCACCCCATCAGTCTATATTTGACCATCAACAAGCTGATGGAAATATGCTAGTAAAACGCCCCTCGCTCAGTAACACCTGTTGTCGGATGCTTGGGCCCACTCATTTTCCGACTTTATTCCAGCCTTGTTCCAAACATGGACAACTCCAGAGTTGAGGAGAGAGTGACTGCCCTTGACATTTTATAAGTCAAAAGAGCTGTATTTGACTGAGTATGACATCAAGGAGCCCTAGCAAAACTGGAGCTAGTGAGAATCGGGGGGGAAAAAGCATTCCATTGGTTGAATTATACCTAGCACAAAGGAAATTGGTTGAGATTGTAGGAGGTCATTCATCTCAGTCCCAGGACATCAGGTGTTTGTCGGGGTCGTGTCCTAGGGCGCAGCCACCTTCGGATGCTTCGTCAATCAATATGGTCAGAAATTGGGATGTTCATTGATTGCACACTTTTTAGAATAATTCACAACTCCTCGGAGAGTGAAGCAATCTGTGTGAATATGCCGTAAGACCTGAACAACATCCAGTGTTGGACTGATAATTAGCAAGTAACATTTGTGCAACACAGGTAAAAGGCAATTACCATCTCCAACAAGAGAGACTCGAATCATGACCCCTTACATTCATGGGCATTATCATTGCTGAGTTCGCTGCTATCAGCATTCTGTAGGTTACCATTGACCAAAAACTGAACTAGATCAGTGATGTAAATACTGCAGCTGCAGCGGGTCAGAGGCATGGACATCTGCAGCAAATAACTCCCCTCCTGTCTCCCCAGAGCATGTTGATCATCTATAATACATAAGTCAGGAGTGGGATGGAATAATCTCCATTTGCTTGGATGGTTTCAACTTCAATATCATTCCACGAAATCAACATCAGGACAAAGCAGCCACTAGACTGGCACCTCATCTAGCATCCTCAATCCCTCCACTACTGTTGCATAGAGGCACTGCAGAAACTCACTAAGGCTCCTTAAACAGCATCTCCCAAACCCTTAGCCTTTCCCACCTTAAGACAAGGGCAGCAGATACAAAGGAATACCACATCTGCAAAAGTTCCTTCTAAGCCCCATACAATTCTGACTCAGAACTATGTTGCCTATTCTCTACTGTCACTGGTCAAATCCTGGATCTCTGCTGTGGCTCAAAGGCAGTTGGAGTCTAGCTGCCCCATCTTGCAATGTCAACACCTGTGGATGAAAGAAAATCTACTATTTATACCACTTATAAGTCAAAAGAGCTATCAGCCACTTTCTTAAAAAAAAACTCTATCCCTCTTCTCTTGAATTGTGTGACTGACATGTTTTTCTGTGCATGAATGAACGCAAGTACTGAAAGCAGAATCCCAACTCTATGTTCAGAGCATGCATGAGATTGAACCAATTCATACTTGATCTATAATTGATCATGTCTGGCTTAACCTGATATAATTGCAAATTAGGTAAATTATGATTTTATTATTGTAAGTATATTTCATTTTTATTCAATTTCTTTTCTATCCAACATACTTCATTAATTTGCTGTCACCACTTCATACTCAATCCAAATCTACATGCCAGTTCAAGTTAATACAACCTAATTTATCTCCCTCAAATTTCAGTATCATATTGTTGAATCTGGCTGCCTATAGAAAAACATTTTTCTTTTGTTAAGTAGAAACTTTGAAAGCATTATTGGGGAGTTATTAATTGATAAAGCTATGTTTAAGCTTTTCCTGTTATGAGGGAGGGTCACTGGGCTCAAAATGTTAACTCTGCATTCTCTCCAGAGATGCTGCCAGATTTGCTGAGTTTCTCCAGTAATTTCTGTTTGTGTTTAAGCATTTTCTAGTTTTGTTTAAAACACAGAAAAACATTAAGCAGCTGTCCATGACCTTGACCTGTCTAAACTTTGTGATCCATGGAAACTGCTACCATGCTGCCTCTGTGGGCAAAATCAATCAGTTCTTCCATAAAGTTATGCTGCGCTATCCTGTGAACCATTTTGTGTTGATTTTCAGCCTGAGCTTTTGCTGTCAAAGTTCTTGTATTCAAGAAATCTCTGATTTAAATGAAAATGTTATAGAGTTAAAATGTTACATACTTAACCTAAAGTGAGCAAGCGCATATCCTGCATGGAAGGATGTATTTTTAATCTCTTCATATCCAATTGTACCCACATAGTCAAGTGTTTAATATAAAATGTCAAAGATCTGTTCATTTCCAGACAAACGTTCATGAAATGTGTGTTGTGGCTATAATTGTTCTACAAATGTGGGTACACAGTCTGAACTGCTATTACTCTGAAATTTTAAGAGGAACGCTAATTATTTATTATCTAAACTGAAATAAACTTTTCTCAGATTTCAAGTTTCCAGCCTCCTGCGGACTTGCACCATGACTGGGTTGGCCCTCCAGATAGGCTTTCAAACCTAAGACCTATGAAGTTTTATACACCAAAGCTTGAATCCAAACTGGAGCAGGAGCTGAGGAATTTAAGGATGGACACACAAGACTGGAACCAGAACTTTTGGTTGAATCAGAACATAACTTTCAACAAGGTGAGTAGTATGAGTGATTTAAGTTTGTATTGATTTGAAGTATTCTGTGCTCTTAATGGCAGGAATTTCTGATTTTTTTTTTAAAGCCATGTGATGCAAACAGCCTTTATTATATTGATTACAAAGGATTTAGATGACATAAAACATGACATTTGACAGAACCAACCTGTTAGGTGTTTATGCTTTACGTGAGCCTCCTCCCATCTTTCCTCATTCCTTTCCCCCTTAAATGCTTGTCCAGCTTCCCTTTAAACATATCTATATTGTTTGCTTTGACCATTCTATTATACTCCTGATAGCTAGATAGTGAAAGAAGAAATAAGAGCTAGTTTTTACTTCTTTACAATTTACAATTTACTTCTCCTTTACCATTTACTATATTGATTTATTCACAAAGTGAAACATTACAGGTTTGTAACGTCTGATTCCACTCTATGCCCATGTTAGTGAATGTCTGTTCATACACTCTTGAGCAAACTGAAAAAAACAAACAAGTTAATTACCAAATTGACAAACACTTCCGTAAAGGGACATGATGACAAATATTAGCATTTGAAAGGAAACTTTTAAAGTAATGTTCCTGTGGCTGATAATGCAGCCTATCCCTCAAGTTTGTGATCTTTATGGCTTTTCTTTGGAGGGTGGACCATCTGGAAATCTAGACAATTTTGCAAAGTTAACAACAATACACTTGATATCTCAGCAGCTACTTGTCACTTTTTAGTTCTAATAATTTTATAAGCACCTTTTCCCTGCCTTAATATTTTAAGTTCCTCCCTCCCGTTTTTGTCCTGATTCACAGTTATTTCTGGAATGCTATTTGTACCCTCTACCTAAAGACAGATGGAAAATACCTTTTTAATTTCTTTACCATTTACTTATTTTCCATTATAAACTCAGCAGACTTTCCTTAGAGGATCAAAGCTTTTTACCCATTTTCCTTTCTAAATAACTGTTAAGTGTGAGGTAGTGTTATTGTCAACGAGCTCGTAATACAGAGACCCAGGGAATGTTCTATTTTTGAATTTAATAAAATCTGAAATTTAAAGTCTAATGACTGCAAATCTGTTATCCATTGGTGTAAATCCCAGTCTCATTCATTAATGTCCTTTAGGGAAGGCCTGTTGTTCTTACTGGCCTGGCCTACATGTGACTCCAGATCCACAGCAATGTGGTTGACTCTTAACTACTCTCTGAAAAGGCCTAGCAAGCCATACAGTTGTATCAACTGTGAACAAGTCTCAAAAGGAAATTAAATCAATGGCATCAACCTAAGCGCTGAAAACAACAACATCAAACTCAACTCTGTCAACTCTGCAAAGTCTTCTTTAATAACTTCTAGCAGCAAGCGGTAAAACTGGGAGAACTGTCTCGCAGACTAGTTGAGCCACAGCCTGGTATAGCCATACTCAGCGTCATACCTTATACACAATGCCTCAGATAACAGTATCATCATCCATGGGTATGTCCTGTTCCACTGGCTGGACAAAACCAGCAGGTGTGGCAGCATTGTGATACACAGCAGGGAGGGATTTGCCCAGGGACTCTTTAACATGGACTGTGAATCCCACGAAGTCTCATGACATTAGGTCAGAAATGGGCAAGGTAATTGCCTGCTGCTTACCATGTACATTCACCTCAGCTGATGAATTATACTCCTCCATGTTGAACACCACTTGAGGAAGCACGAAGGATGACGATGATACAGAATGAACTCTGGGTAGGGAACTTTCAAAGTGCACAGTGCCATTGCTGACTAATCTGGTCAAGTCCTAAAGGACACAGCTGCAAAATTGGATCTGCAGAAGGTGGTGAGGGAACTAACAAATGGAAAAGGTGTACTTGACCTCACCCTCATCAGTCTGTCTGCTGCAGATGCATTTGTCCTTGACAGTGTCAGTAAGAGTGACACCGCACAGTCCTTGGTGAGACAAAGTCCCATCTTTTCATTGAAGGAGCCCTCTATCATGTTGTGTGGCATTTTCATTGTAATAAATGAAAGACATGAGCAACTCGAGGCTGGGCATCCAAGATTCGCTGTGAGCCATCAGCGGCAGCAAAATTGTACTTGAACACAGTCTGCACCCTGGCATATCCCTCATAACCCTCACTCATTGAAGCATGCAGGAGGGTATGCCAGGAGCAACGTAAGATGTACCTAAAAATGAGGTGCCAACCTGGCGAAGCTACAAAACAGGACTGCCTCTGTTTTAAACAGCAGAAGTAGCAAATGTTAGACAAGGCTAAACGATTCCACCACCAACAGATAAGACCTAAGCTTTGCAGTCCTGCTGCATCCAATCATGAATGATGGCATACAGTTAACTCGCTGGAGGAGGAGGGGTGCCCTAAGTCCTCAATGTTATATCAAAAAGACAAGGCTGAAACATTTGCAACAACGATCCGCTAAAGAAGTGTCAAGTGGATGATCCAACTTTGTCTCTTCAAGATGTCACCAGCATCACTGATGCCAGTCTTCAGCCAAATCGATTTGCTCCATGTGTCATTGTGAAATGCCTGGACCATTGGATACTGCAAAGGGTACATGCTCTGACACTATTCTGGCAATAGTACTGAGGATATGTGCTCAAGAACTTGCCACATCTCTAACCAGACTGTGTTCCAGTCCACTTACAACACTGACATTTACCTGACAATGTAAAGAATTGCCCAGGTATCTTCAGCACACAAAGTTGGACAACTCCAACTCGGTTAATTATTACTTTATCAGTCTACTCTCAATCACAGAAAAGTATTGGAAGATGTCACAAGTGCTCTCAAGCAGCACTTCCTCAGCAATAACCTGCTCATGAGACTCAGTTTGGGTTCCATCAGAACCACTCTGCTCCTGACCATGTTCAAATAGGTCAAAAGAACTTAATTCCAGAGGTGAGTTGAGAATGACTGCCCTTCGCAGCAGGGCCACATTTAACTGAGCGTGGCATCAAAGAGCCCTTGCAAAATGTGAGTCATTGGGAATAGAGGAAAAATACTTGGAGTTGAACCTAGCACAATGATGATTGTAGGGGGTCACGATATCTCTGCAGGAGTTCCTTAGTGTTTTAATCCAACTATCTTCAGTTGCTTCATCAGTAAATTTCCCTCCATCATAAGGCCAGAGGTGGGAATGTTTGCCCATGATTGCACAATGTTCAGCACCATTCATGACTCTTCACATACCGAAGAAGTCTATATCCAAATGCAACAAGGCCTAGACAATACCAACATTTGGGCTGACAATTAACGTTCATGCCACACAGTGTCATGCAATGACCATCCCCAAAAAGAGAAAATCTAAGCATCACCCCTTGATATCCAATAGCATTACCATTGCTGAATACCCCCATGTTGACATCTTGGGGGTTCCCATTGACCCAAAATTGAATAGCCGTGTAAATACTGTGGGTACAAGACGAGATCAGATGCTAGGAATCCTGCAGCAAATAACTCTCATAATGACTCCCTAAAGTATATCCACCTTGTACAAGGCCCAAGTCAGAAGTGCAATGGAATATCCACTTACCTGGTTGAGTACAGCTCCAATAACACACACGAAGCTTAACAACATCCAGGACAAAGAATCTGGCTTGATTGGCAGTACATCCACAAACATTCACTTCTTCCACCACCATAACTCAGCAGCCATGTGTACCATCTATATGAAGTACTGGGGGAATTTGCCAAGGTTACTTAAGACAGGACCTTTCCAGCACATAACCACTGCCATCTGGAAGGATATGGACAACAGATACATGAGAACACCACTGTCTGTAAGTTGCTCTTCAAGCCATTCACAATTCTGACTTGGAAATATATCACTGTACCTTCAGCTGCACTGGATTAAAAGTCTGGAACTCTATCCCTAATGGCATTGTGAGTCTACCTACAGCAAATGGACTGCAGAAAGTGGTGATGATGATCTACCTTCTCAAGGGCAACCAGGGATGAGCAATAAAGACTCGCTGAACCAGTGACTCCCACATCCCATGAATGAACAATAAACATAAAATGACAAACAAAATAATTTTTGCTGCAAGTTTTGGACTAGAGGAGATGAAATTGGAATTTTAAATGTCAACCAAAGTTGGGTAGTTTGTTATATATAATTTTAAACAACCTCAGTTAAGCTTAGGGTTGTGTTATTGTTCCACTCAGGTAAATTGACATTCTCTTCTAATTTGCCCGATGTATGTTTTTTAAAATTTGTACATCTTCCACTGTGAACTACCAAATGTTAAGAACATCTGAAGCTATGCGCACTGTCTGCAGAACTACCTAATTAGTTTCTAATATTAAAGGTCTTGTGACTGCAAACACATTCCTTGTTGTACTTATTCCGTGTCATTATTATTTCATAATGTGAAACAAATGCTTAATTATATTGAATGCGTAATGCAATAAATTTCCTTTACCGTCTCATTCTTTCACCTCTAGGTGGCACTGCCAGCTTTTTTTCATATTTACTTCTGTCTGTTAACCTGAACTGCATTTTACACTGGAACAGTTAAAGGTATTAAAACAATTATATACTGATCTAAAAGAACAATTTACAAAGTATTTGTTGTCAATTATTTTGACTCCTCACATTGCTTGAGCTTCCTGCTATATTAGTACCAAACACAATTAACTAGCATACTGCTATCACAGTTGCTGCAGAATGTAGATTGGGAAATAAATTTTAAATCTTAGAACCTGCATTGATAGTTTTTTTTTATACTGAGGAGAGTTAATTATTTGTTGTCTCATAATTTTGCTATGTTTTCCCACTGTTGCTAAGTAGTTAATGTTCCACTGTTTCAACTGCTTGTCACTTGCAGTCCATTAAGAAATGGAGATGGAACTTGAACTACTAAAGCCTAAAAATTTTTTTGAGCTGATAAAAATTTTACAATGTGTTTCCAAATATAGGTGCAGAAACAGCATAAAATGAAAATGTTAGAATCTGTAACTTATTCTTTGCCTTGGGGTGGGATTTCTTTTTTTCCTGTTGCAATCCTTGC